TGCAATCCCTTCTCCTCCATTCTCCTCTCAAGATCTTGGGCACGCATGCACACACGCCCAGCATGAGTTTAAGCCACCAGGTCCGGGACTCGAACCGCGGTCAACTACATGGGAGTCCAGCAACATAGCCATTAAGCTAACTGCTAGTCCCTCAAAGGTGTGCTTATTATGATTTAGCCTTGTACTCCTAGGAATTTACCCACAGAACTAAAAGCATGTAGTCATACAAAAACATGTACATAAATATTCACAGCCAATCCTGGACACCACCCAAATGTCTAGCAATAGAGGACCCCATATATATAACCCGTGATATAGCCACCCAACGGGATAGGCTCAACAGGAAAAAGAGAAGGCACTATTGATACGTGGATGAACCTCAGAACAATATGCCAAGGGAAAGAAATCAGACAAAGAGAGCATATAACCTATTAGTTCATACATGTGAGTGTGTGTGTGTTTGTGTCATTACTGAAAATAGAAACGATCTATAGTGACAGCAGATCAGTGGTTGCCTTTCGATGGGGTTGGGATGGGGCTGCGTGAAGGGAGGGCTTAGGAAGTGGTATGGCTTGAGGAAACTTGTGGTGTTTGTGAATATGTTCATTATCTTACTCATATGATGGCTTTGCTATATAAATACCTGTATTTGTATATAAATTCCATCTATAAATATATAACATGTAAAATTATATATACATATACATGGTAAAGATGTAGTATATATTTACATATCAACAGACCAAATTATGTATGTTTCTATGCAGTTTGTTCTGAAAATGTGCCTGGGGTTTGTTGTGATCAGATATGGTAAGACACACAGGCACAGAAATGACAACCGAGCGGGAAGACGTTTATGCTCCCAGCTCCCTAGTAACAGGAGGTGGCACTGCACAGGTTTACATGGGGAGGCTTAGGTGGGGGCAGATGAGGAAGAGGAAACAGCGTGTCCCCAAGCCGTTATTGTTGCTGTATTTTACCCTGTTGGAAGGTATGAGCAAGGCAGGGTAGCTATTGAATAAGCTTAGGGTCGGAGCATTTGAATAATTTTGGCAGACTCAGTGCTTTAGACGTGGTCCCTTATTCCAGTCCTTCTGTGATTTAGGGCAGGGGGATGTTGGCATGGTGTGTGACAATGTGGTAGAGGAGAAAGCTGGGAGTATGGACCCTGGGCTGGTTGGTCTGTCTGTCAAAGGCACACTCACAGAGGAGCTGTTTGCTCTATCCAACAATTAGCTCAGTCTTACACTCCAGGAGCAAGGATCAGAAAGCCAGGGTCAAGAATACAGACAATATAATTAATACATAGTTTGTTATATATCAATTATTCCTCAATAGTAAAGCTAAACACTTAGAGGGCTCTTTTCAGCAAAATTCTATGATTTCCCAATTTAAAATAGTAGCTTTCAAGTTCTAACAAAATCAGATGAACCAAAACAATCCAGGCAAAGGGAAAGCAAATTAGAATAGTTTAATGTATATTTTTTTTAAAAAATTTATTTTAAGCACTTTTTTTTTTTTGAGAGGTTTTTGCTATACGGCACATGCGCTCGCCAGACAGACAGAAAGAGACAGAGAGACAGAAAGAGAGAAATCACCCCCCAGGGGGAATGGCCACGCCTCAATCCCTTCTCCTACATTCTCCTCTCGGGATCTTGGGCATGCACGCACATGCGCCCAGCATGAGTTTTAAGCCACCGGGTCCGGCATGCGAACCGCGGTCGACTACATGGGAGTCCAGCAACATAGCCATTACACTAACTGCTGGTCCCAGCACTTTAAGTCATGTGTATATTAAAATCAGTGTCAGTGGTACAGTGGTAAAGCACAGCACTGTGTGAGGCAGACCTACACGGGAAGGTTCACATCTAGAAACTTCCCAGAGTAGGCCAGGCACCCCTGTGCTCAGGGTCTGGGCTGGCCGAGGCAGAGAGGATCAGCGTGAGGGCCTTCTCTCAGTGTCGGTGGTGCCATCTCTCTCTCTCTATCTCTCTCACTTATGGAATAAAGAAAATAAGTTTACAAACTGATTTAGAAAAACTAAATTACTTAGAAAACTCAGTATTACTAAGAAGTCCTCTATCAGCTCACTTCATGGAGAAAATATATTTTCATTAACTGAGTGGTCATGTCAATGATTGCTTCTGAATATCTTTTAAAAAGTTTGATCTTTAAAAGTGTAAGTATTTCCCTGGAATCTGTTGAT